GGAAGCCAATGTCCCGGGGACTCATTCTGACTGAAACAAGGGGTGGGTCTTTACCAACTTAAAAATCGAAGATTTTAGGTAAGCCAAAAAACGTGAGCGCCCCTACGCGAGCCTTATTGAAAACTCAAGTCAATTTTTTATTCTATCTATATGTATTCTATTAATGCGCTCAAGCATGCGCAGAAAGCAACGAGAAAAGCCCTTTCTATGTTATTAGTAAAGAGCTTTTCTTGCTTGTTTAGTAAAGTCACGCTTTTCATTTTGATAGGAGTAGGTGCTTGCTGGGGCAGGGCACTCTTCATTCTTCATTCGAAACTAATGAATGTCGGGTCGGGGGTTTCTGCCTTGTTATCAAAAAGGGAGTTGGGTAAAGCAAACTCCCTCCTTGGACGAGCACGGGGCTTAGTCAAGTAGAACCGGGTTGCGCTGCTTGATGCTCCGATCGAAAACAAATCAGTGGGGCCATGCCGGTACGACTGAATATGCGTTAAAAAGGTCCCCTACGACACAAAAAAAACCGGGCCGAACTTCTCCCGCCCGCTTCCATAGAACAATATCGTGGCAACGTAGACCTAAGTGGTCATATTGGATCTTTGGGAACCATCACAAGTGCGGCCGGCCTATATTTAAACGAGAATGCCGTGTCGTCCAGCGGAGCCTAGAAGAAGGTGACTCGCGCAGACAGCTGACTCCTTCTTTTCAATAGAAAGGAATAGCCAAACCAACCCAGCTGGCTGGTCAATCTCAGAGATCTTATCGGCCGGCAAACCGGAGACGGACGACCACGGTCCCGACCTTATCAGCACCGGAGGTGTACTAATCAATGAACCCACCCCCGAAACCTACTTTCTTTTCTTACAAAATAAACCAAGCCTAACCGGTCACGACATGTTGTTGATATTGATTGAGTTTGAGGGACTTTCGCTGACTAAATCCATCCATAAACCTAGACCCCGGCGACTTTCGTAACCAAAGCGTCAAGACAACAGCCAAAGGTGACCTTTGGATTCTTAAGTAGGGGGCAAAGAGGAGCACGTAGGAATGCCGACCACTACATAAGCCACTGGTGGCTGAGAGAAAGCGAGCAGCACCTTGTATAGGTTGGGCGGAGCTTGAAGAAGCGAGCCCCCAGAAAGCCATTGCGCGCTAGCCTAGCTAGCTAGCGTTTTTCAGCTGGCTGTTATGTTAGTTGTAGCGCGCCTTCCCTCCTTCTCTCACTTCGGAAAGATTTCGCAGTATTTTCTTTGGATGACCTGGTCGAGAGAGTACGATACATCGGTGTAAAAGATGGAGTGGGATCTGTGAGGTTGGTTATAGTAAGGCCTGGCCGGAAAGTGTTCTTGCCTCTATCATTGAAGGAAAGGTTGGTCAACAATTTGGAGAGTTTGCTTCTACACGGAAACGAAGACTTTCGAGAACAAATATTAAACCGGGAAGAAAAAAGGGGAAAAAGTAAATAAAGTGCGCATATGGCACGAAAAGGAAATCCGATTTCGGTAAGACTCGATCTGAATCGTAGTTCAGATTCAAGTCGGTTCAGTGAGGGCGACCGCGAAAGTCACCGAATGGGTCAGTCTTTTCCTTCAGTTTGTCCTATATATGTTGAATAAAAAAGCTTGGGAGGACGTTGCAGATGTCCGGGACGGACACGACTTCTTCTAACGCTAGAAGACCACTGGAAGACACCCGGGACCAGAGCATGTCGTGAAAGAAGCACACTGGGCGGGCGTGCTTCGACCGTGTCTCCGGGGCACAGTTGAATGTAGATATCATGAACGCGAGGTGCAGGATACCAGGCCGAGAAACCCGGGCAACCACCCCCTATGTGCCGATCGCTAGCGCATCCAGGGCCCCGGCGCCCAGCTCCGCTGGAGAGGCCTAGCCTGATCTGAGAAGTGCTAATTCGGTTCGGATAGACTTCATTCAAGAACGCCGCCGCCCCTGGAATCAATAAGAAAACAAGTGCTAAGTTTCAGATCAGTGAATAAACCGAAACGAAAGAAGAAAGAGACCTTTCTCGCTCGGCGCCTAAAGCGCACTATGCTCCGCTTCAACAAATGAGAGTTTTCGGTGGAACCGGTGAACCACGCGAGCTGGTTAGATGCGTGGGACAGAGGGCTCATAGTACCTGCTAGCGCAGCTATGCAGTGGAAGGGAAGGAGCCTAAATCGACCCCCTTCTTTTTAATTTGAAAAAGAAAAAAGCAGTACAAAGAGATTAGACTCTCGGATGAGACTAAGCAGCCACCGACCGTTCCGACGCGCCCCTGACCTATTTTTTTATTAAGACCGAAAACCTATCTAAAATGGAGCCGGCTGTCAAACAAATGAGAAAATGGAAAATTATGAATATAACCACTTGTAGGGATATGGATGGAGTCTCGCTCAGTAAAGAGAGTTGTAGATTCGTAGAAAAGGAGAGGAGCCTTGACTTTCTATGATGTTCTTAGTCAAGAAGCGCTAACGCTGCAATCTTTCTAAAGCAAGAAGCGAGAAACTTGACTTTGAGAAAGAAGGTGCTTGTTGCCGCTTTCTTTTTTTAGTAAGTAAACTTGTTTTGTTTTATAAGGCGAAAGGTTGCTATTTTAATAATTATTATAGCGTTAGCGCTTTCGTTTTCAATAAGTTTAGGCTTGACTAAGAACATAGAAATTTTGAATCAGGGTGCGCAGGTTTGGAACCCTATACAAAGACAAAGGGCCTTTCCCTTCAAATGACAACTGCCTCTTCCTGCTGCGAAGGCCTTGCACGAAACCAACCCCCCCACCCCCGATCCAGTACCAGTTGTTTCGCTGGTAGGCCCACTTAGGTTAGGGGGGCATTGTCCCTCAGTTCTTACCAACCTCCGGTGTGTAATCGACATGTTGCTAACTTCAACTCGGTTGAATAAGAATCATTGATTCCCTTTGCTGTCCATTTCTTATTCATTCAGGGCGCTCGGCCGGTGCTCCTTTTTTAAACCAGAACAACTCTGAACGTTAGAGAAGATAGATAAGGGAAGACCACCTGAGCGAACCGACCGAGGGGACTTGACTTATTCGAACCGAACGATAGCGGCTTAAAGCTAAGCCTATCACGAGCAGCGTCGCTGCTTGATCGGCGGGGAGAAGCATCTCAAAGTATGGGGCAAAGGATCAAGATCCGCTCCGACCGTTCGTTGGATAGATGAAAAGGTTTCAGTAAGGTTTATTCTTTTGACTTGAAGTCTGCCACCGATAGGAGGCCCCTCAGTCTGAAGACTAACCTTATTAGAACTTTATTTGGTAAGTCTGTTGGAGATTGTTTAGATGCAATCTTCAGCAGATCTATGAAGTACCCTTTCTTCGCTCAGTTCGAGGTGTCGTATTCTTTAGAGTAGGACAACCTCTTGGCTTTCTGTCTTCTTGGCCTCTCTTCACTTTAACACATCACTTAGTGATGTTTTAGTGTGCAGAGAAGGTGTACCCAGGACAGCGCTTTACTAGGTATGCCATTCTTGGAGACGATGTTTGTATCGCCGACGAGAATGTGGCCTCTCTTTATCGCCAGACAGTAAATGATCTAGGTCTCGCAATAAGAAAGGGGGTGAGATAGGCGACAGGTAGCTTGCTTCCAAGCCGGCCCGGCCGCGAGGAAGAGATCTTTGCCGGTGCTGACTTGGATCTCGGGTGACGGAATAAGGCGCCCAGAAGCGACGAGCAGTCGCGGTCGAAGCTTGGCTCTAGGCGATAGGCTAGCAGTAAGCTTGGCTACAGCGAAGCGCTTACCAAGCGCGAAGGATTCGTTCCTCTCCCAGCAAGAGGATGCGCGCCTTAACTTAAAAGAAAGTTCGCGCTTTACTTTACCAAGGCTTTCTCTGATAGGGGCTCGTTAGCGGTCGAGCTCAAACCTTCGCCACTTGAGCCGTATGCGGGGGAACTCGCACGTGCGGTTCTTAGGGGGGAGAGCTAGTAGGAACCATCCTATCCCAATAGCGAATATTTGGAGCTCAATATGAAATCCTATTTTCTTGCAAGACCCGTTCGGATAAGGGAAAACTCCAGAGATTGCTTCGAAGTAAGATCCTTGCGTTGACCCTTTCCTGAACCAGAACCGGGGGGGGGTTGAGAGGAAAGAAAAGGGGATCAAAATTTCCCATCAATAAAGTGAGGGCTTTCCGGACCTTCCCCACCCCTCTTTCCATTCTTCCTTCCCCTCTCACTCCCCCTTTTTCAAGAAATAAGCCCCGCTCCCTAAGAAGGGGCCCCTCTCTGATAAGGAAGGAAACGAAAGAATCTCCATTTTATGACAAATCCGGTCCGATGGCTGTTCTCCACTAACCACAAGGATATAGGGACTCTATATTTCATCTTCGGTGCCATTGCTGGAGTGATGGGCACATGCTTCTCCGTATTGATTCGTATGGAATTAGCACGACCCGGCGATCAAATTCTTGGTGGGAATCATCAACTTTATAATGTTTTAATAACGGCTCACGCTTTTTTAATGATCTTTTTTATGGTTATGCCGGCGATGATAGGTGGATCTGGTAATTGGTCTGTTCCGATTCTGATAGGTGCACCTGACATGGCATTTCCACGATTAAATAATATTTCATTCTGGTTGTTGCCGCCAAGTCTCTTGCTCCTATTAAGCTCAGCCTTAGTAGAAGTGGGTAGCGGCACTGGGTGGACGGTCTATCCGCCCTTAAGTGGTATTACCAGCCATTCTGGAGGAGCAGTTGATTCAGCAATTTCTAGTCTTCATCTATCTGGTGTTTCATCCATTTTAGGTTCTATCAATTTTATAACAACTATCTCCAACATGCGTGGACCTGGAATGACTATGCATAGATCACCCCTATTTGTGTGGTCCGTTCCAGTAACAGCATTCCCACTTTTATTATCACTTCCGGTACTGGCAGGGGCAATAACAATGTTATTAACCGATCGAAACTTTAATGTCCGTTCCAGTAACAGCATTCCCACTTTTATTATCACTTCCGGTACTGGCAGGCGCAATAACAATGTTAGTAACCGATCGAAACTTTAATACAACCGGTTCTGATCCCGCAGGAGGGGGAGACCCCATCTTACACCAGCATCTCTTTCGGTTCTTCGGTCCTCCAGAGGTGGATATTCCCATTCTGCCTGGATCCGGTATCATAAGTCATATCGGTTCGACTTTTTCGGGAAAACCGGTCTTCGGGTATCTAGGCATGGTTTATGCCATGATCAGTATAGGGGTTCTTGGATTTCTTGTTTGGGCTCATCATATGTTTACTGTGG